TATCTGTATCTGTATCTGTATCTGCCAAACAAAAAATATTCGACTCACAACAAAAAGGGCATATAATGCTTTTCGGTAATTAAGGTCTTTATTATTTCGCATTATGCATTTTGAATATCTTCAAGAACTCGATCATAAAGTATTTCCTTGATGTTCAAGCCCCAAAGGAAGTCCAAATGATTCCATTTCACCTCTGGCAATCGATAAGCACGTTTCAGAGTCTTTTCATCCAATGTCATCCGTAGCTTGTCCACATCTATGAGACTGGCGAAGTAGTCGTTATCACTGTAGTACAGATAGATGGGTACATCAATGCCAGCGACATCGTAGTCTGGCGGTGTCTTGCTACCATAATCCTTCTTGTTTCTAATCGATCCATAGTCGAACTGACGGAAATGTCCAGAATTGTATTCCTGCAGATAGTGGAACATTTGATTAATTGAGCAGCCAGCCGGTGTTGTGGCCATAATATCTGGAATCATTGACGCATTCAAATACGGCGAGTCCCAGCCTCCCATGAGGAAGAGCACATTGGAGCATATCACTTGGGATATTGCAGCATCACTGCACAGCAGTGAGCCCATCAGCTCCATGGCCCTGGAGTTTGGCATGAACTCTGCGCTACCGAATAGCTCGATAAGAGCGTTGGGCTGTCCAAACAGTGGACCTGCCACCTTGGCTAGCGGGCTTTCCATGTGACCCATCCAGGCAACTGGTGCCAATAAATGTGCCGAGCGAATGCGACTTCTGAATCTCTTGATCATCGAGTTTAAGACAAAGAACGAAGTTGTGCCCTGCGAGTGGCCGACATATTGCAACTGATCCTCGCCCGTATGATATAGGACGTAGTCCATCATGGCTGGCAAGTCATATATGCCAATGTCATGCCATTCAAAATTCCAGAAAGGCTGAAACAGTGGAGACTTATCGGCATGCTTCCTCGAGTAGGTGTTGCCGCGAGCATTGCCCATCCAGACGTCGTAGCCGGCATCCGATAGAATGAAGGCCAGGCCATTAGTGGGACCACTTAGAACCCAGTCAGACGAGGAGCAGAGCAAACCGTGCATCAGAAACATAACTGGACGATGGCCATTATCGCCAGTGTTCTTGGAGTAGGGTAT